AGTCCAACTCCTCCACTCACTAGGGGCTTGTGCATCCTCTTGGAAAGCAATCTGTGCCTCTGTGAAAGGCAGACTGTCATAAGGCGGACCTCCTTGTGGTGGGACATGAAATTAAATGAGAATTTACACACAAGCTTATGGCAAAATAGTAAAATGAAGTGTAAATAGTAATAGTAAAAGCAAGTGTTCTTCAATATCACCCAGGCCATGCATGCATCTAATGTTGTCTAATGTTGCAATGCATCTAATGTTGTCATACATGGATCGTCTCTCCTATTGTGAACCTGCCACTCCTTCTGCTAAAATTAAATGCAAGCCCAGAGAGGTTATAAGACTTGGCCAATGTCACACAGCTAAACAGTCATAGCAGAGCAAGGGCTAGACACAGAGTTCCAGACTACAACTTCACCCACTTCGGTAGATAAGGGTTAGAAAATTCCAGTAATAAGGATGATGATAAAGGGTAATAGTCACTGAGCAGTGACCATATGGCAGGCCCTGCTCTAAGAGCTTTCTAAGCCCAGTCTCAGTGAATCCTCACACAAGCCTATGCTACAGGGACCCTCATCATCCCATTTTGTAGGCAAGAACCTGAGAATCAGAGAAGTGACGTAAATTTCCCAGAGTCACACAGCTATTAAGTGGCTGAGCTGGGACTGAATCTGGAGCCATCTGACTTGAGCCCATTTCTGTTAAGATCAGCCTGATGACCTCTCTGGGGACTGCAGGTAACATAACTGAGTGAATGGGGCTGGGGGCGCGGGGGGGCGGTGGCTGGAGATTAAACCTAAGAGGGTCCTAGAGGGAACAGTTGCTGTTTGAATATGCAGGTCCAATATTACCAGACCTATCCATTTCTCAAGAGAAATCAGAAATCTGGATTTCTGTGTGAAATCTCTCAGTTTTTAAATGTTGGCAATTGGTTCTAAGTTGGTTTTAAAACACCATACTTAATAGAGACTAAAGAGATTTCACAGCCAAAGGCAGTGAGCTTTGACTGGATCCTGGTTTGAGAAACTCTAAAAGCTCTAAAAGACATTTCTGGTACATGACTGGGAAAACAGTAATACAGTTGGCTATTTGACGATGTTACGGAATTTTTGTTCTTTTCCTTGGGTGTGATACTGGAATTGTGTTATGTGGGAGAATGTCCTTGTTCTTAGGAGATCCACACTGAAGTATTCAAGGATGAAGCGTCATGTCTGCAACTTATTTTCAACTGCTTCAGCCAAAAAACAAAGGGAAAACAGAGAGGAAGGGAGGGAAGGAGAAAAGAAGGAAAAAAGGAAGGGAGGAAAGAAGGAAGAGAGATAGCAAACAGGACAAAATACTCATAATTGTTAAATCTAAATTGGTAGTTCTTAACTGGGAGTGATTTTGCCCCTGGATGACTTTTGGCAACACCTGAGGACGTTTTTAATTGTCCCGAATGAAGCGTGGGGTGGGTGCTACCTGCACCTAGTGGGTAGCGTCCAGGGCTGCTGCAATGCTCAGGACAGCGCCCATAGCAAAGAATTATCCAGCTCCGAATGTCAACAGTGTAAGGGGAAGAAACCCTGCTCTAGATGAAAGATATACTGGACTTCGTGTTTATTCTTCTTTCAAGTTTTTTGTATGTTTAAAATGTTTCACAATAACAAATTGAGGAAAACTTAAAAATAAGAATACCTAAATAGAAATACCTTGCAGACCAAACAAAACAGGTCTGCATGGTTTGGTACCCATAGCTGGCCACCATTTGCAGTCACTTCTTCCAATAAATTGTGCTTGAATGTGGCAGCTGTTACAGCTGCTGAATGAGCATCTGTACAGTTCTCCCAACATCACAAGCAAGGTCCATGCACGCTCCTGGAACTGCTGTCTTTCCGTTTTTTCAGTCCTAATCAGCCCAAAGGGAAGCGTGGGATGTGCCCAGGACTCTGAGCCTAGAAACTGACCTCCTCAAACACAAGCACACTGGTCATCAATACCAGTCAGGGTGTGACGTGGGAGCAGCACATGCTGTTAAGTCTTTGAGAAGATACTTTCGGATGAGGTAAGAACATCCCAGTGACCCTAGCAGCTGCAGACAAAGTAAATGAAGAGGCTGCAGCCAGCAGGTTAATTTCACCTAGAAGCCACCGTATAGTCTCTCTGATGCCGAGCTTGGTGTGCTGGCCCCACCCAAGCATCCCATGGCCCCGTGCAGGCAAAAGTGGATGAGGCCACTGCCATGGCTGGGACTTGAAATGATTAACTGCATCAGCAGAGCAGGATGCGTTTGGTGAGAACTTGGGGCGGCCCCCAGCACCACAGAAATACACATAAAGGCTACACACACGGGGAAAACCAGCAATAGAATGTAAATAAGAGTCACACTGGATGAATTCATCCATCCTCAATCCTGTAACATATTCCCGAATCAAGACCAGTGTTTCTCCAAGTGTGGACCACTTTACATGAGCCATTCAGGGAGGTGGTGAAATGCAGATTTCCGAGGCCCAGACGGATGGATTTAGTATCTCTCTGGATCGAACTCAAGACTGTGCATTTTAGGAAGCTCCCCAAATTCTGAAGCTCACTCAAACTGAAAACATCTGCCCCAGACACAGCTGAAACCAGGGGACTAGGGAGCGCACAACTTTCTGTGTGACCTTGAGCAAGCCACCAACCTCAGCTATGATTTGCTCCTATGTAAGTGGGAATTAAATTAGCACCTGTCTCATCGCTGTGCAAACTAAACGAGAAAATGTTTACACACACACACACACACACACACACACACACCCCCCTCTAGTATAGCGCCTGGCACCCAGAACTGTGCTCAGCAAATGTTACTTCCTTTTCCTGGACAGTGACTGGCTGAACACTGCAAAGCCTGGAGGGATACACAGAAGTAGGGATGCTCAGGCCTCACCCTAGAGGTTCTGATTTGAACCATCTAAGGTGGGGCTCCCAGCGAGAGGACTCTTTTAAAAGCACTCCAGGTGACCCTAAACATCAGCCGAGGTTGAAAACTGTACTTTAGGAGTTGCAAGTAAAAATCAACCATCCTTTCTCTTCAGCAGTACATACTTTCACTCCATGCTGGAATTCCCAAAATGTATGCAAGGAGAGCCCGTGTTGAGGCTCTGCTACCCCAGGGCTGGGTACGCCTAGATTTCACCTCCAAGCAGACCTCTTCCGATACCTGCAGAAGAATGTGGCTGCAGCCTGCTGGGCTGAAGTAAACAGAGCTGCAAGGGGGCAGGACCAGGAAGTTGAGTCCCTGCTGGCCTGAAGCTAGCATCATCTCCCACAGATGCCCAAAGGTTAGCTCCCCTCTCCACCTTCTCACCTCCCTCTTCATGCCTCTCCACCCCCATCCCAACCAAACAAGGAGGAGGGCTCCTGTAAGAGCTGGTTTGCAAGGCAAAGGCTCCAAGGAGATTTCAGCAGAGGAATTAAGCCGAAATCTGCAAGGCAGCCTACCTATATCCCTGGGTGAATCTCCCTACCAAGGCAACAGTCTCTGCCGCAGCCCTGCTTCCGTGTCTCACTCTCACCTTAATACAGACCCTTGGCGAGGACAGTGGGGGAAGTGAAACCACCCGGCCCATGCGGTTGGCGATCGGGCACCTTGGGGTTACGGGGAGGTGGGCGGGGCCTGCTCTTGACTCTTTTTAGTAGGTCAGGCTTTCTTGAATGCCCTGGGAGCTAGCTTACTTCTGTGCCTCCAGACCTCAACATCCATCCACACCTCCCTACTGACCGAAACCGAGAGGAACTTCCTCACCTCTTCCCCCAAATTCTTCCCATCTGGAAAAAAAAAAAATCGGATAATCTGAGTATAAGTAGAAAATAATTACTAGTGAGGTGGTGATGTTCCTTCGCCTATTTTTGGTGGGTCTCTTTGTTGAGATTTTTTAGGCGGGCACACTGGCACCCGGAGGTGCGGGGTGTGTGTGTGTTGGGTGGGGCATGGGGGGAACACATGGCGACTCTGTTGCCCATATTCGGAAAAAGAATAAACCTGGCGCCCCAGTCATCCAGCTGTTCGCAGGCCACCCGGCGCTCTTCAACCCCGCCCGCCCGGACCTCACACCAACCCCAGGCCTCACCCCGGCCGGGGGCTGCGTCCTCGCGTCTGCGTGTTCCGCCTCAAAGTTACTAGGTTGTGCGAATCGATTTAGATACTTTAAAAAACAAAAAAGCAAAAGGCAAATAGCTCCGTTAATCCCAAATGCCTTCTCCCATCTGCTGAGACCTGCTCGTGCTGGGACTTGCATAATGAACAAGGCAAAAGGGGAAGTTGACGAATCAGAGTATCTGGGGGGTGAAGGCGCGCGGGGAGAAGGCTCCGGCCTGGGCAAGGGGGGGCAGCGCGCAGCTGAGGTCGCTGCCCCAGGCAGGGAGAGGTGGCGAATGGAGAGGGGGACGAGGGGGTTAAGGGGAGGGGTGGCGAGGTCCCAGTTCCAGGGACCTGGCAGCTCGGAGAAAGCGAGGCGGCCGCTCCAAGCACAGCTTTTGTTCTCGCCCTCCCCGCACTCTCCACCTCCCTCGCCACATTTTCGCGAGTCGTACGAGTTGCAGGCGGCACACACTCCTTGCCTCCCTCCCTCCCTCCCGCACACACGCGCGCGCGCGAGCTCACACACGCCCCCCTTTCCTTTCGGGCTCGCTGGCCCCTGTTTACCTAGAGGCTAGTATCTGGAATCCGAAGGCTGGACCCCCTCCCCAAAGCCCAAGACTTCGGAGCCACGGGTTCCCAGGGACTGTGTGTCTCAAGCCCGCTGCAAGCCTCGGCGGGAGGGGGCGGCAAGAGGGCGGGGGAGGAGAAGACACCCCTAACCCCCACACACGCTCATGTCCGCACCTGTGCTGAGCGCAGCGTCCCCTCTCTGCGCTCTCAGCCCAAGTTGGCTGCCCGGGTGACATACCCCCGCGGAGAAGCGAGGGTCGGGGGGAGCGCCATTGCCTCCAGGAAGGTGGAGAGGAGAGAGTAGGGAAGCCCGGAGGAGCGGGGGGGGAAGGCAGCCCACCTGGACATGTGCTCCCTTTGGGGCCGGTGCGCTTTCTCCAGCCCCAGCTTGGTGAAGATGCCCACAAGCACCATGACGGCCACCACCCCGCAGATGATGTAAACGATCAGGTTGGTCTTGTCCTTGGTGGGGTCGTGCAGGGGGTCGTCCTTGCGCGCTGGGGGCTTGCCGGTGTTGAGCCAGAGTGGAGTGTCGTAGTTGGTGCAGGTGCTCTGGTTCAGTCGCCGCTTCTTAAACGTGCAGCAGAACCGGAAGCCACAAGTCCCGCAGCAGAAGATGAAGTCGCCCGAGCTGCAGTTGAACGGCGGGTCCCACTGGCCCATGACATCGAAGTAGCCCCGGCAGAAGTCCGGCGTGGGCGCCCGGGTCGGGGGTGCGTCCGAGACCCCCACGCCCTCACCGACCTCTCCGGAGGCGGCCCCCGAGCGGTTGCCCCCCGCCAGCACCACCACGCCGCCCAGCTGCGCCAGCTGCCCGTGCCCCGCTCGCTCCTGCGCCCGGCACACGCGGGCGCACAGCTCGGTGAGGAAGCAGCCGAGGAGCAGCCGGAGGACGCGGCGCATCGTGTTTCCCAGCCCGGGCTCGGCCGCTCGGCCGCCGCTAGAGCCGCTGCAGCCGCCTCTCGAGGCGCGGCCGAAGCTGCCGAGGCTGCTGCCGGGGGCTGCGAGCCGCCGCGGGCCGCACATGCAGGGAGCGGCGCGGGGCGCTCGGTGGTCGGCGGCCACTGCGCTCGGCTCAGCCCGCGTTCGCCTCCAGCGCGCAGCGCGCCGAGGGGCCGGTCGGGGAGGAGCGCGCCGGCCGGGCGGGGGGAGGAGGAGCGGGGGCAAGCGCGGGGTGCAGGTCCGGATGGCCACAGGGGGAGGCGGGGGCCGGAGAGCAAGGGCGAGTCCGTCTGTCCGTGCCTCCCCTCGGCCGGCGGCTCTGGACTCGCCGCCCCGCGCCCGCTCGCAGGATCCCTCTCACCTCTCCAGCTGGCCAAGTGCGCCGGAGAGAGCTAAGCAACACTTGTGGAATGAAGGGAGGGCAGGAGAGAAGGGGGAGGGGGAGGAGGGCGGGCAGAGGAGGCGCGGGGGGGGGGCGAGGGGGCGGGAGCGAGCTGGAGAGGGGCGGGGGCGCGGGAGAGGTGACTCGGGCTGGCAGGCGCCAATTGGGGGGCGTGCTGAGCCTGCCTGGCTGGCGGGCGGAGAGGAGCGAGCTCCGGCAGCCGCAGAGGCTGAAGCACAGCTCGGATTTCCCGGCAGGTGGAAACGGCTGCGGGACCTCCCGCGCCCTCTCTGGAGGGGAGCCGCGGCTCAGACCTGTTCCGGGCGCAGAGGCGGCTCCGCCCGGGGCTTTTTCCTGGGAGCGTGCGCAGCAGCTGCGGCTGGAGTCGGCCCACCAGGGAAGGGGTGACTCGAAAGGTTGAGGGACAGGCCAGGTAGCTTCCACTCCAAGACAGACTGGGGCGCAGTCTGATCAGGATCACCCCTCCCAGGTGGCGCGGGGCCGCCCTGCCCTTTCCCCGACTGTGCCCTCCAGCCAGAGGCGCCACCCTTTTGGCTCAACTCCCGGGGCCCAGGCGAGGACCAAGGTTGAGCTGGGAAGGCCGGTGGCAAGCGCCTGGGCCCGGGGTAAGCACCCCCGGGAGAGGGGCTCGGGATGAACTAAAGTCAAAGAAACGCAGGGGTAAGGTGAGGAAGCGGCCAAGGCCGAGGCAATGGCCTGTCCCAGAACGTCTTTCCTTGGGACTCTCCCAGGCCCCTAGACCTGCCACTCTGTCCCTCTTCGCCGTCGCCGCCTTCCCTGCGCTCCACAGGAGGGCACACCAAGGCGCCGCCTCTGAGCGCCCAGATCTGGTGCAGCGCAAGGCCTTGGCGCCCGGCCTCAGCTGCCCTCCGGTACCTGGAGCCCGCGCGCATCCGTCTCCCGGAGCCGGCTGGTCCCTGTCCCCACCGACCCTCCACCTCCCTTGATATCCTCACCGGGAGCTGCCGAGCCGGGCCTTGCCTCCTCGGCTTTCAGTCTCCCGTCGCCAGTCAGTGTTTCCAAACCTGCCCTCTCTCAAATCAGCCGATTCCAGCCATCCGTCGGCCCTCTCCCATTTCTCCCACTTCTTCCTCTCCTCGGCTTGAATTTGACTCCAGTAGCCCCTAAAACAGGATTTGTACCAAAGCTGCTACACCAAATTTAGATCCCCACACGCCCCTGCGTTTTGTTTTTTAATTGCATTAACTAAGTATACACTTAGCAGTAGGCTAGGCGATTTGCAGGGAAATGTTTCCACCACCCTTCTCTCCATTTGGCTGCAGTCAAAGGCTTCTCAGGGCATTTTCAAAGAACCAAGAGCTTTGGCCACATATAAAATGACATACGGTAGGGGTGGGGGTGTCCCCTTAATTGAAAAAGCATGGGGTTTTATTGGGACTCCCTTGCAGGTTTTCTCAGAATGAGACGCAGTTCAGCCAATTGCGCCTTCTCTTTGAAGAAACGGTCACCTACTGTCTCCCCCAAAGACTTGCAGAAATGACCCTATTCCAACAAAACACACCAGGGCAATACTGATAGAATGTATCCAGGGGTGTAGCAGCCCTGGAAGACTCACTGAATTATGGGCTGTATTATGTACTAAAGCCATCAGGACGAGGCACGAGATTGTGTAGTCTGAACTCATCGGATTCATCATAATGGGATCCCCAAAACAGGACAGTGTGGACTGTCTGTCCACCCACACACACCAGCACTGTGTAAGTCTCTACAAACACAGGCATTGGTGTGGGAGAGCTGACCACAGCTGACGTTTATTCAATGCTTGTAACATACCCACTAAGCTTGCTTGTTCTAAAATCACCTCCTCGAGGATGCTTAGAGCGGTGCCTAGCATCTAGCAGACAATCTGGGAATATTTGCTGAAACATTGAATGACTGACTTCATTTAACTCTACCCTTTAGGTAATCTTACCAAGCTCACACAACAGAGGGAGAGACTGAGGCCCAAAGCAATTAAACCAGGTGCCCAAGGAAGCACAGCAAGGAAGTGCTGCCGTTGGCATTTGACCCAAGAAATTTGACTCAGGAGCCTATGTTCTAACCACCGCAGGTAGCGCCTTCCTAAAATAGGCCTCCAGACTCTCCATCCACCTGACATTATGGGGTTTTTTTTTTCTGTCTTCCCACATTGAAATGTAAAGTCCACGGCAGAAAGGGCCTTGACTCTCACAGGGTCCCCCAGCATCTCGAACAATGTGGATACGGGAAACACTTGAAAAATATGTACAGGCTGTTTTAATGAACTAAGACCTTTTATGCAAGACCCTGTCTTAAACTGAGAGAGGAAAGGAACACCTAGGGCTGAGACAGATATGCAGAGGGGTTGGGATATTTCCACATACTAATTCAGAATTAGGAAGTTCTGCTCCAGCATGTTTACAACAGTCCAGGAAGCTGAGGCTCAAATAAGGGCTTTGTCCAAGGTCATATGGCCAGCAAAGGGGAAATGCACAGCTGGATGCAGAGTGCCGGGCTCCTAACCCCAGGTCTCCTGCCATCCTACCCCACTGCACCCCACGTGACTCTTCCCAGCAAGCATCACGGCTGAGAGCTGAGGGCAATGAACCACTGAGGGCTAGGTCACAGACACCTTCCCGCAAGAGTTGGGGGTTTGAAGGCCCTTCTAAATTTGATTTTTTTAAAAAAGAACAATCTTAGCGAAAAGAGACAAAATCTAGACAGAAAAGTCCATTTCAGAATCTGCCTCCAATCTCTGTAAAATATTGCCTGTCACCAGGACATTTGAGTCTGGTCCTCAGAGGAGACCAGCTCTGGCGGCTGCTCCCGGCTTTAATTAACAGAGACTGCCCCCTGTTTGTCACAGGGAGAGTGCAGGGATCTTGCTTTGGAAAGAAGCGGACCTAATCCACTCTGCGTGGCTTATTTACCACATTCCATACCTGAAGCCCCGTGAGCTTTGCCCAAACCAAATTCCCTTCCTGCTCCCGCCGGCCGTGGCTGTCACTGCCCCCTGGAACACTGCCCGAGCCTATTTCCCAAGAATTTGAAAAATATTTAGAAGAGAGAGGAATCATCTTGGTTCCTTTTACTCCTCAAAGGAAAAAAGTTGATTTCCTCTGGGTATGTCAAGTCAGTAAATAGATTCATTACTTCCTACTAGACGTGTGATTATTGGGAACATGCCCCCATTTGGAACATGTGATTGAGAATATATTTCTTTCAGGGCTTTGGAGGCTGGGGGGTGGGGGGGCATTTGAAACACCTGGCAAGTTAATGGAAGATGAAAAATCATTAGTAAATGCCACCCCCTACCACTACCCAAATGAATTCGTGCACACGTGTTGAAATTAAAATGTAGCTCTTAATGAAAGTGCTTTCTATGAAAGACATGATAACATTATTATTTACAACACAGGGGCTTTTAATATCTAAAGAAGAATCTCATTGGCTCTAGCCTTAATTATGTCAGACTGCAGTGCATGTAACAGCGAGAATGCAATTGTACTCCCCAACAATTAGGGGAGACAGCAATGCAAGGAAGGATGTTCGCTTACCAGGACTTGCAATCAATGTCCAGAAGCAGCTCAACAAATTAGATTATTTGCAGCTGTGGCCCTCACTCCAAGGAGCTGTTTGTTAATTGTCCCATCAGGTGGTCCTTAGGGCTTCAAAGCAGTTTCTAAGCAACTGTTAGCCTTGAGAAAAAATAAAAGAGTTGAAAGAAGCTTTAGTTTATAACCTCAGGGAGCTTCCCCGGTGAAATTTGAAACTGGCCCATCTCAGGAGAGAGGGAAAAAAGAAGCAGTCACTCCAGATTGGCAGAATTAATAAACAAGGGAACTTATAGTAGAGTTTGTCTTGGGCGGCTGCAAGAGGAGTAGATCTCTGCACCCATCTGCCAGAATCTTAACAGTTTATTTAGGCTTTTGCCTCCTTGGAACAGCTTCTAGTGAGGGAACAGTGGGTGGAATGTACATTTCAAGGACAGAGGAGGGAGAGAGGAGCCTCAGATTGCCCAGGTCCAGCTCTCTGGTTAATAGGTGGTCACGTTGACTTTCCCCAACAGAAGCCAAAATGTAGCTAGTACCTTGCCAGCTTCAAGCAACACACTGATTTGATGTATTTTAGTCTCTTGTTCTGAAAAGATAAGAGAAGCCTTATAAAAGAAGTGAAGTGGGTCTGCAGTAAGGTTCTCTAAGACTAGAGGTGGTGTGTGAGATGATTTTTGGTGGTACCCCAACAAAGATTTTTTAAACAGTTTTGTATTTGTTGAGGAAAAAAATGCACAACCTAAAAGCTGAGAATTATGTTTTATTTGGTTGGACAATCTGAGGACTTCAAGCCAGGGAGACAGGACTCTCAAACCGCTCTGAGGGACTGCTCCAAAGAGGTAAGGGAGGAGCCATAATATACAGGAGTTTTTGCAACAAAGACCAGGCAGTCGGAACATCAAAAGATTACTGTTAATTGGGGACTTCCCTGGTGGCACAGTGGTTAAGAATCCACCTGTCAATGCAGGGGACACAGGTTCGAGCCCTGGTCCGGGAAGATCCCACATGCCACAGAGCAATTAAGCCCATGCACCACAACTACTGAGCCTGCGCTCTAGAGCCCGTGTACCACAACTACTGAAGCCCACGTGCCTAGAGCCCGTGCTCATCAGTGAGAAGCCCCCGTACCGCAACGAGGAGTAGCCCCCGCTCACCACAACTAGAAAAAGCCCGCATGCAGCAATGAAAACCCAACGCAGCC